ATGGTCCCTTCTGACCTTAAAGTCTATGATTCTATGATTCATCTTTGTATCTGTTTTGTTGCACAGACTGACCCCTATCCTATCCTCCCCGGCTTCCCCCCAGAAATGCTTATTACCTGAATCCAGCAGTAAGGCTGCTTAACCATTTGGCACTATTGCACTCCAGGATTTGTAACTGCCGTAGCATCTACCAACAGGGGCAGAATTAACCTGCTACAGACACCACCACTGCCAAACTGAGCTGCCCTCACATGCCAGCAGGTTCTAACATTGTGGGAAGTGTGGACATTCTCAGCCTCTTTGATCAAATACCGGAGGGGTTAAAGTTAGTGCTGAAAACATGCCGAAAGGCAGGTTGAAGAGCAGGTGTGGGGGTTTTTTAAGTTTTCCCAATCTCTAGAGTCTAAGGAGAACTTAAGTGAAGTTACTTGCTGTTGCCAGCAAACGGTCCACCTCCCACTTTCATGCCCTTCCTCGAAACACCTTGATCCAAAAGGATGAGATTAAAACTGTCCCCTGCCTCTGTCCTTCCTCTTCTGAGCCCAGGATCCCCTCCCAACTCAGATTTTGTTGTGATGATTTGATTTATACAGCAGCTGCCACGAGCCTCAAAGCATTCGAAGGTGTGGGGCTCAGCTGAGCCTGAGGGTACCAGGCACACTATGCAGCTGCACTGCCCCAGGGGAACTGTTGGGGGAGGGACAGTGCCTTGGGAAAGCCCAATGTTTGGAGCTCCCAGGCAACCAGGAGAAGCCTGCAAGTTGTACCATTCCTTAGGATGGAGCAACGTGTTCAGCTCTTTTTGCCTGGGGCCATGCTCTCCTCTCCACCCCTTCGCAGTGGCTTGGGCCCCCGGAATCACAGGAAGTCCTTGGGAAACAGCAGGCAAGGGAGATTCCTGGTACACAGTTGGAGCTGAGCTCTTTTCACAGGATGGCGATTAGCGGTGCCTCGGGAGCTGCTGAGTGCTGAGCATGTGGAAATCTGGCTCCACAGCAGGACCCGTAGCATTTTGAAACCATTTAGGGTTATGAAGTGAGCACTGTCTTGAGCAAAGGAGGAGATAGGGATGTTGAACACAATCTCCCATACAACACTCCACTTAACTGAGTTTACAGTTATCAGAATGGCTGCTTTATGGGGAACTAATCTAGCCTAGTGTTCAGAAATGACTAATACATAACTGAGGGCAGGGTTGCCAAAAATCTGTTTAATGAGGAACCATTTGACCAGTGCCAAGTAGTTAAATGATGTTTAATCTGGTGTTAAATAGGTAAGAAATTCTAAGACAGAGTCTTTTGATAGAGAAATTGGAAAACAAAGATACAAAGAAAACAACAAAGTAACATTCCATGCTTGTATTTCTATCCAGTTTAATATTTTATTTCATTTTAAATATTCTCATTTTTAATTGCTCCTTCTCCTAATTGGGAAAGGAAGTTAATTGGGACAATGGAAGCTTACTGTGGGAGTCAGGGGATCCAGGTTGGATTTCCTGCTTGGGCAACTCACTTATACCCAGATCCTCAAAGGGATGTAGGCACCCAAGTCCCACTGGGACCTGGGCCTTAGTCTCTCAGTGACACCGTTCTCCCTTTGTAAAATGGGGATGATAGCACTGCCCTATCTGCCAGAAGTGTTGTGAAGAGAATAAATATGGTAAAGAATGTGAGGCCCTCAAATACTACAGTAGGGGTGTGGACACATAAAAACGACTTCATGCGAGCGACTGAATAGGAAAATCCCAGCTCTTTGGTTGTACCTCCCAGGCTGCCTGGTGCTGCTTCTTAACAATTTTACCCAGCTGCTTCCAGAACAGACAGACCATACCACTGAGACTGTTCACTGAAATGGAGCAAAATCCCGCTCAAATTATTCACACAAAACGACCACTGAAGCCCATGGATTTGGCAAGAGTTGACTCATTGTCAACCCTTAACTCAGACTGAAAAAGCAAGGCCCGCTGGTTGCTGGACTCATCAGTAGAAAGGGATGGAAATTTGTGCTGTTCACAAGGGTCTGTTTGACAGAGATTACAGGGACCACCGACAAAACCAAACCCTGCTTGCATCTGAGGAAGATCATCATTCAAGTTCTCAGGCAAACTCGGGCTAGCACACACCTATTGGCCGCAACAGAATAAAGACACTGGGGACATCTTTCCAGTTCACAGACAAGTGGTATAATTTTTACAAGCGATCTGGCCAATCTGAGGAGTGATCACAGAGCCCTACCTGTAATCACTGCCCAGGGAAAAGTCCATTGGCACCAACAGGCTAAAACCTAATGTCCTTTCTCCCGTTGGCTTCAGCTTCGTTGGCTGCCCTGGAGGTTTACAGGAGTAGGAGGCTGGGCTGTGAGTACAACAGGGGAGCAGGATCCAGTTTGGTGTGGGGGGGTTAGCTCTCCATTGTTCAGTATTCGGTAAGCTGGGTCACATCACAGCCTGCTTACTTCACTGTTTCATTGAAAAGCAAAAAAAAATAGAAACCCCCCCAGCCCTCTGACAATGTGCTAGATAATCACCTTGGGACCAGGCTCCTCGGGCGTTGTTCTCCCATGCTGAACATCCAGGCAGTGATCTAGCTAAGTGGACAAGTATACAAAGTGTTTGTTTGTAAACACACACTGACCACTCAAGAGCTATCCTCACAGGGCTAGATTGTCCCAGCCCTTCCTCCTATGTGCCCGGGAGTCTGAGGAAGCAAAGGCACTGCTGGTCCCAAATCAGCCTTGCTCAGATTGTGACTCTGGGGCAGCAGTGGCTACTCAGTCCATACTCTCCCACTGCAAGCCAGTGAGTAGGGAGGGTGGAAAGGAGGCAGAGGGAGTAGCAGCTGGCTTTTCTCCCATCTTACCAGCAGGCCAAAGTAACTGGGCAGCCAGTTGTAGAGTCAGTTGCTCCATGAAAGGGGGTGAAGTGCCTACTATAGAACAAGGTGGCAGAGGAGGAATTATGGCTCTGAGTCCACCAGCTCCCTAGTTTGCTCCTGGGATGGCACAGCGATGCACCACCCATCACTCAGGGCAGGCTGGCGGTTACAACCCAGCCCTTGATGAGAAAGAGAACCAGCACCGACAAACTGCACTTCTGAGGGACCATGAACTTTGCCCACGAAGGATTGTTTAAAGCTGTCTCAGAAACACTAGGAACACTCTTCTTCCACAGTAGTTAGCCCAGTGGGTTTTTTCAGCGTTTCATTAATACAAATAACAAGCAATTACAATAATTAATTCACTTTATTCTAATACAATCAGTCAGGGATTCTGGTTTCCCACAGCCAAGTACTGACGAGTGAATAGAAAGCTCCTGCCCCCTGCCCTGTCCAAGTTTAAAGCTAGAGACTAAGGAGCATAAATTCCTTCTCCTGAGAAATTCTGAGCACCTGGCAACTTCCTTGGAGTTAAAGATGCTTGGCAGGTAGGGAGCGTCTCTCAGGGTCAGGCCTTTCGGCTCTGCGAAAGTCCTTACCAGTGTTTAGAATTCATTCATTACATGTATTTGGCTCAGTCACTAGCAGATGGCAATTTTTATTTTTTTCCTTATTTATTTTTAGAGCAGGAACTCTGGACATCTTCTGGGAAAGAGAGACAGCAGATCACCCTGACCTCCTTTTGCCAAGCTCAGTTAGATATCCCTAGGGTTCTCTCAGAGCAGCGCTTACACAAATAAGGACATTTTTTCAACTTCACACAACCCTAATTCAACTCCAGCGACCACCTCTCTCCTGTTACGAAACGTTTTTTTGACACAGGAGACAGTGTTGAACCAAATTCTTAGATAGTTTTTACTGAAACAAAACACCCAATAAGGTACTCTCTTTCAGACTGTAAACTCTTTGGGGCAAGGACTGGTCTTACCTTGGTGTCTTGTATAGTTATCAATAAATAAGAAATAAAAAGTAAGGGCAGAGTAATAACTTCAGGGTCTGGCCAGTAGTTACAAAAATCTCTACCATCCTCCACACCCCAGGATGCGTGTCTTCCAACGAAAGGCAGAAACAAAAATCCACTAGAAGCCTCAACGTCTTAGAAGAAAGACCGTAAGACATTTTTTTCCCTTTGTGGGATTACACCTGACCCATGAGTAACTATGCGCTAGGTAATTCTGTGACACTTGATGAGGTAACTCCTGCAGATAATGCAATGCCTCCTGGAGGAGTCACATTGGGAGTAATCCCTGAAACTTCTCTCACCAGCCTCCTGAAGACCTTACGTCTTATTTGCTCTGAGCAGACAAGTTCTACTAATCAACAACCAGCCTAGAAAACCCACCAGAGGTGAAAACACTATGTAGGGGGAGGTAGCGTTAAAATGGGCAGGTGTTTTGGGCTGAGTGTATATTACTTCCATTGGCGAGACTGAAACTTAGTTAGCCTTTTGCCTTGTTTTGCCTTTGCTGGAAACCTCTTGTTGATGGGATCCATCCAGTACTCCAGCCCAGCAGTCAGTGGCAGTGCTAATTATTTTCACACTGGGAGAAAATGTCCACCCCCTCCTATGCATGCAGGTAAAGAAGAAAAAGAAAAGCCAGGGCACCTGGAATCAATACAGTACAAATCCTCTGCTGTTCCTACCACACCTTCAGAGTCAGTGAGAGACAAGAGCTTACTATGTATTTGAGGAAACCCTTCTCTGGCCATGTTAAAGGTGGATGATTCTGGCATGCCAGCTGGGGACTGTAGATAGGGAATCAAGATACATTTGCACCCCAGCTCTCAATGATCAATCCCCACAAACTGTGATCGATCTCCCATCCCCACACACACCCCATCCCCTGCTCTGATGGATTAACCCTTAAAGATACTAGGGCAGGGTCTCACGCTGGTTCCTTCCTTGAATGCTTCTCATCATTAGTTCCCCTCAACCCACAGCCTCCCCGCCCCTGAAAGGAAATGCATCCCTTTTAATGCTTCATATTTTGGTTCCCTGGTTGCTGTTTAGGACAAGAAATGAACTGCTGCCTCTTTAATTGGCAAAAGCATGCAGCAAGAGCATACCTTTAATTTAGTGTTGGGATAGCTCACTTGCACCCTGGCTGTTGTCTTATTGGAGAGGGCAGCCTGCCTCAGATCCTCTAGCACTGAAATAATATCATCCAGCACGCATTTCTTATCCTGATTGCTCAACACACACAGATGGGGAAAAGTATAATTATAGCCTTTGTAGTTCACCTTCATTTCCAGCACGGCTCGGTGGATCTGCAGGATCACATCAGCCTGATGCAAAATATTGCCTCCTGGTTTGGAGAGGAGGATCACCCTGCCATACCTCCCCGGGGTGTGCAAGTCCGAATAGAGCTGGCTTTTGGACTGCTCCAGGGGGAAAAGGCTACTGGCTAAGCTCCGCTCGATCTTGGCCAGGCTGTGGCTGGGGGCTACCAGCGTCTCCAGGTCCCTTTCCGCCTGGAAGCGGTTGAGCAGGCTGAAGCCGAAGATGATGGTCAGGACTGCGGGCAGGGTGAGGAAAAACACCGGGTGCCTGCTCACGAACAAGCCCAGCTTGTAGCAAAACGACTGAAGCCCTCTGTGGATCACCTGCCGCAGCATCCTCCACCACATCCAGCTTGCAGATGCTCCCGGGCGCCTTCGAAAGCACATGTGACATGTGTGGCTCCTTGCCCCCCTTCCCGCCCGGTTCCCCCTTCCTCCCCCTCCCGCCCCCCACTCCCACTACTCCTTTGCAGGACTGCAGCAAGGCAGCCCGCGATCGATCCGTGGGGCGCGCGCGCGCGCGCGTGTGGAGGGGCGCGGGGGGCAGGGTGGCGCCCGGGTTATTTCCCCCCTCTCGCTCCCCCAGCTAAGCAGCATCGCCCCCGTTCCCGGCCCCCTCCTCGCCACGGAGGCTCCGGCATTGTGCTGGGGTCGGCCCTGGCTCTGCAGTACCGGAGCGCTCCCGCTCCCCTCCACCCCGAGGGAAAGCCTCGCTCGCCATGTGCCCCGGCGGTGGAACTGGGGGGTGGGGGTGGGGGGGGTGGAAATGGCTGCGGGCGGGCGGGCGGGGGGGGGGGGTCTATTTTTAGTGCGTTTTCCAGCAGGGTCACACGAGGCAGGGGGCTGGGGGGGGGGTGTGAGAGAGCGAGAGAGAGCGGGAGGGATCCCAGGGAAATGAACGATCCTCGGGAATTAATAGCAGAGGGGGGAGGGCGTGGGGGGGGGGGTGCCTGGGATCCCCCATTCACCTCTAGGGAATTGCGCTCTGGTGGCAAGAGGCGGCTGCGGCTGCATTTGAAGGTCTCCCGGGCCACGCCAGGCTGGGGGGCACGCTCCGCTTCTCGCCCCGCGGCTTGCCGGGGATGCGGTGCCGGGGAGCCGCAGCTGCGGGCTGGCTGCCGGGACTTCTGCTTGGGACAGCGGGGCCTCTCTGGGGGACACGGCGAGCGGAGAGGGCGAGGTCCAAGGGGCTCCGGGTTCCCAGTTTGGGAAGTGATGGTGGGGCCATGCCCCGCCCTGCCCATTGTGCCCGGTGAAAGCCGGTCCCATTGCTGCGCTGTCCCGCAACACCCTGCGTTCGAACCCTGACCCGCAGTTGCTTTGTTTCCAATGTGTGTGTGTGTGTGTGGGGGGTGTTAAACAGAGTATCTCCCCCCCCTCGCCATTTGCACTAATATAAATGTAGCTTCCCAAGCAGGGGCTGCCCCACAGATCAGCTGAGGAAAGCCACAACTGGGGGAGAGGGGAAACAGATCCCGACTGCAATCACCTGAAACAGAGCGCACGAGTGCAGTGTTTGTCAACCTCGGCGATACCAGGGACTGGCTTGCAGCCTTCCTAAACTCTGTCAGGGACCAGCGCAGGTCCATCGACCGGTTGTTGAGAGACACTGGACTCGAAGATCCATACACCTAACAAAGGAATTTCCTAAAACTAGACACTAATAACCAGCCCCTTCAAGAATAACAACCCAACCGAGGCTATAGGAAGGACAATACCCCAGAAAAAAAACTCTCCAAAATATAGCCACAGACAAGACATTGCATAAGAGCAGAGGATTCGTTTATCCTGTTTCTGAGGCCAAGAGAAAGGTGCCTAATATCCAGGTGGTTGTTTGAGGACAAGAGTTCTCTGGCTCATCCTCTGAGTGAAAGTTTCTAAGCAGGAGGAATTGTTTTTAGGGTGCTTTAGCCAGGGATGCTTGGGACAGCAGGTCTTCAGTGTTAGCAGTGGTGATAACACCTGACAGAAGAGAGGAAGGATTTCCCCTCTAGTATAATCTAAACCATAGGTTTATTGATCTCTAATTTAAGTTTCAAGGGGAAAAACAAAACCAAACCCAGAATAGCTACTTAATGGATTAACACCTTAAAAATTCCAATAGACTGTATAGCCAGTTTTGTCAACAAAAGCTGATTGATCCTGGTAGGGTATCGGTGACATTGTGAAAAGCTTAGCATATTGTGAGTTGCTTTCGTAACAAGCTAATGTTGCAACACAAGGAGATCAAGAGAGAGAAAAAAAAAAAAAACAGAAAGCTTGAGCCCATTGGTTAAGAGATTTGACTCACACCAAGAATTACTAACAGGGGCTAGACAGAGCTTCCTCATTCATCCAAATAATATACCACAGACCTTGCAGAGAAGAGGTGTCACTGAATTATCCCTAAGCACTCAGGAGACTTGCAGTTATGGATCTTGCATGGCATTGCAACAGCTAATCACTTTGTGAGCCACATCCCCCCAGGTGTCTGCACAGTGACCATTTTGTCTGGCCTCAGATAGGGGGGTTCAATTTTTCCCCCATTTGATTCCTCTTTTTGATTTTTTGTGGCAGCTATTCATTGCCTTCTGCAGGGTTTTCTCCAGGCCCCAGTATTCTGGCAGGGACATACAGTGCTTGCCCACAGCCTGGCTTCTGCTTGACCAATTTTTTTTACCTAGGCAGGCTAAACTGGCAGTTTTGAAATCTCACAAGCACAGAGTGGAGGGGCAGAAGGGAGTGGTGCGCTGGGGCTGTTCCACACACCGATTGGGGCCTGGCTGCAGATTGACTATTCCCTTTCATAAACTGACAATCTGGATGTGTTTCAGCTGACCTAATATATTGTTACTGTTTTGGGTGAACTTGATGATGGTGACGCCTTAGTGATCTATGTGCATAACAGTTAATATTTTTATAACACAGGTCTATGTTTTATATGTAATTTCACAGTGTATAAAGGTGTTTTTCCCATCACTAAATTCTCTCTCTCTCTTTCTCACACACACACACACACACACTTACTTTCCAATCTGATTGGACACACAAAAGGGGGTTTGTCAGAATCTTTGCAATTGTTCTTTGTTATAGTTATTGCTTTTACTTCTATATCTGACAACACAGATCACAGACATGAGGTTACTGTGGTTTTGAAGGAGACAGACATCTGACTCTGACATAAGGGAAGAAAAGGCAGGAATGCAAACCCAAATTTGTGCAGCTAGGTGCCTGAGTTAGCTTCCTCAATCTACATTTAGGTGCTGCATTATGTTTAGGTACCTAAAGATAAATGGCCTGATTTTCAAAAGCTCTGATCAATGAGTGCTGCAGGTGCTCAGTGTCCTTAAAAAAATAATCAGGCTCTTTTTAGATCAGTGCCTAAATATGGATTTAGAAGCCAATATTCAGGCACCTGCATTTGTAAATACTGGGCATAGTCCTTACGGGGAAGGGTACTAACATGGGTACTCAAACAAAAGCAACAAAATCACGATACCAGATTCTCTGCGCTGGGAATTAGCCTCAATTTCAGCTATCGGCATCGCTGTACCATTGCAAACTGAGTGCTGGAAAGGAAAGGAAGTTTAATCCTTTCTTGGTTCCAGGCAGGGTTAAACTCCACCAGTGCAAAGTGCGGCTTTCCTTGTTCACTGTACCAACAACTGAAATCAGGTCTAATACCCACTTGGGTCAAGGTCTAAATGTAAAGGTCCTTCTGTCATCTTCTGAACTTACACATGAGCTGGTCTTCTACATGTCATAATCTATCTCCATGTTATTACAGAGGTGAGTACATAATGACATGGGGGCCTTGAGCACTGGTGCACCGTGGTCCCTCCTATTCTCTGCCTGTGGCACAGAACAGTCTAGTCTCCTGTGGGCTGTAATACTTCGGTCATCTCATTTCAGTTGTTGGATTTAGTGTGTGGGTGTTGGTGGCCTGCAGTATACAAGAGGTCAGACTAGATGATCTAGTTGGTCCTTCTGGCCTTAAACTCTATGACATAGAGGAGAAGTTCACATCAGAGTATGTTTTACTCTGTAATGTTTCCTTCAGTGAGGGAAAGGTGAACACACACACTTATCCCATTCATTATACACAGGTTATAGCTCTGATAAATGTTGTATTTCACAGTACCTGGCATGTGGCGGTGTGCCATTGGAAGCGGTCAGCCATGTATGAATGAGGCATGAAAGTGCCTTTCATTCTGAGGCATTCAGAGTAAAAAAAAAAACCCCAAGATTGTACACAGAGGTACTTTTTGAGCCTGGCAGTTCTTTGCCTTGCATCTCATTTGGTCATTTACAGCAGTACAAAGTCACTGCAAAAAAGGTGTAAATGCCCTCCCTCCACAAAATCGGGTAATGTTTTACACTGAATTTGCACATGTGTAAGTTACTCCACAACATGTAAGGTAATTAACAGCAGGGCTCATTTGAATCTTGCTGTAACCCATGGCATGTGGTTCCCTGATGTGATTCACCAGTGACGCATTGCAATGAATATTGCCTGTACTGGGACCAGTGCTATTCAACATACTCAAATGATCTAGAAAGGGTAAGTAGTGAGGTGGCAAAGTTTGCAGATGATAAAAAATGACTCAAGATAGTTAAGTCCACAGCAGACTGTGAAGAGTAAAAAGGGATCTCACAAAACTGGGCAACAAAATGGCAGATGAAATTCAATGTTGATAAATGCAAAGTAAGGCACATTCGACAACATAATCCCAACTATACATATGAAATGATGGGGCGTAAATTAGCTGTTACCACTCAAGAAAGTGATCTTGGAGTCATTATGGATAGTTCTCTGAAAACATCTGCTCAATGTGCAGCGGCAGTCAAAAAAGTTACAGAATGTTAGGAATCATTTCCAAAGGAAAAGATAATAAGACAGGAACTATCACAATGTCGCTATACAAATCCATGGTACACCCACATGGAATCATAGAACTGGAAGGAACTTCGAGAGGTCATCTAGTCCAGTCCCCTGCACTCAAGGCAGGACTAAGTATTATCTTGAATGTTGCCCACAGTTCTAGTTGGCCCATCTCAAAGAAGGTATATTAGAATTGCAAAAGATATGGAGAAGGGTAACAAAAATGATTAGGGGTATGGAACACCGTCCAAATAAGGGGAGATTAAGACAACAGACTATCCAGCTTGGAAAAGAGATGAGTAAGAGGGGAAATGATAGAGGTCTATAAAATCATGACTGGTGTGGAGAAAGTGAATAGAGAAGTGTTATTTTCTCCTTCATATAACACGAGAACCGGGGGACACCCAATTAAATTAATAGACTATAGGTTTAAAAACAAACAAAAAAAAAGTATTCACACAATGCACAGTCAACCTGTGGAACTCATTGCCAGGGGATGTTGTGAAGGTCAGAAGTATAACTGGGTTCAAAAAATAAGTTCATGAAGGCTG